TCATATATTTAAATACACAGAAATTTAACTAAACAGGGAGCTAACTAAAAACAGCACACGCTGTTTTATGAACAATGCCAACATGGCGGATTTCAGACTGCCAACTTAAAGTCACTAAACTGGTTACTTCCAATACCAACTGTTTATTTGGCGGTAAATTTGAAATAAACTCTTACAATTTATTGCATTAAAAATATTATAGGACAAATTAAATAATTTAAATGTTAAAGTGGAGAAATTTCTCCAATGGTATTTTTAATTCGTATTATACATTTCTCATATAATATTATTAATTCAAATTATTAATTTGGCCAATGTGATATTTTTTATTCAACAAATTAAAAATATAATATACCTAATATATATAATATAATTAAAAATAATTTTTTAAAATTTGTAATGATATTTTTAATGCAATGAATTAATTAATTTTACTAGATATTTTTAAATAAGTTAGAGATATGGAAAATTGCAATTGCTAAAAATACTTGACAACTAAAGACACAATTCCACTTAAGTGGATAAAGGGTCTATCTATAGACATATAAGTGAAAAAAAATTGACAACTTTTTTTTAAAATCTTTTATCGTGCTTGATTAAGGAGTATTTTTAATAAAAAACAAGGTGTAATTTTTTTTCACTTAGACCCGGGTCGCGACCAGAAAACCGATGGACGTCCTGAGGCCTAGGCCTATGGACGTCCTAAGGCCTAGGCCGATGGACATCCTGAGTACGTCCATCGGTTTTTTGCCTGCGACAATAGTTGAAGATACAAATTGATATATCACCTTTTATAAAGGCCTTTATAAAGGGTGATATATCAACTTGTATCTTCAACTATTGTCGCAGGCAAAAAACCGATGGACGTACTCAGGATGTCCATCGGCCTAGGCCTTAGGACGTCCATAGGCCTAGGCCTCAGGACGTCCATCGGTTTTCTGGTCGCGACCGTCTGTAAAGGATTTAAACCGGATGTCCTCAGGACATCTTGTGCTATCTGGGATATTGCAATATTTTTAGAAAAAAGGACGAAATTAGCTTGACACTAAAAAAAATTAACCTTAATTATTTGAATCAAAGTCACGTGGTGGGACTTTTGGGTGTGGACCATAGTACAATTGACAATCTAAGTAAAAGTCACTTTAATTGACCGATTGCAGTTGTGCTAGAAATTGTTTGCTTGTTTGGTTTATTAACTAACGTTATAGTGACAAAATTAAGTAAATATTTCTCAGAACTGACAATGTGAAATTTAAAAATTAAAGAAAGATTAAAAATGTTGTGTTGTATATAAAGTAGTTTAGATTCCGTAAGTGGTAAAACAATTACGTACTCGCGTCTTTTGGAATGGCAAAAGAAATATCACAATCTAACAAAAAAGTGAATTTTTCCGTTACATACATTTAATAAATCTTGGGATTCTAAAAAAAAGTTTACTTGAGTCATATACTTAAAAAAACTATAATAATAAAACACATCAAATAATGTAACCGTTTTATTATAATTATTCAACTGAATATCATGGACAGTAGACGGCAATCCAAACAGTCAATATTCCAAAACGAAACTTGCTGAGAAAAAGGGTAAAAGGGACTTTTCCACAGTGATCCGAGAAAAAGCAAATCAAACTCACAGTCAACAGAAAAAAAAATTATTTTGAATTTGATTGCGAGTCGGTGCTCCTTTACCCAAGCCGAAGGTGTATGATATTATATATTTTAAATAAATGTATAGAAAATATTAACCTTCGGGCAAAAGTTCGGCTTCGGCAGAAGGTTTATCCGAAGCCTAGTTTCTACTAGGTACTTTGGGTGTTTACAGGCAGGCTGTTAAATATTTAACATATGTTCAGCTTTGGCTAAAACTTCGGCTCAATTTTAGCCGAAGACGAATGTTTGGCCGAATCTGAAGCTTCTGTTGGACACTTCAAATTGTATTTACACAACCTGCGCATTTTTTAATTTTCTGCGGTGTGAGATCCAAAAGGGTCTTGGAATTTTAGGTTAGGTCATCTGTTAAATTAATCTTTTCCTTAATAAGTTTTGCCCATTTTTTCCAGTTTCTTCGAAATACTAGGCCGCTTAAATTTAATTTGCATTCGGAAAATATTCTTACAGTTTTTTTATGGCTGTCACCAAGTTTTAAAATTGAATAAGAAACCAACAAAAAATAAAATACGAACAAACGCGTTAATCCTCAATTTAGCCAAGCTAATAAAAAAACCTAAGGTAGTTTGGGCCAAAGATAATACCCATAGATTGGAAACTGCACTAGCGCTAGCGGCAAAAGGCTAAAGTAAATTAACGCCATCTAGGTCTACAATAACCTTAGCAATGCCAAAAATTGAAGTAGATTTCTGTAACATATATTGGCGCCATATTTAAATGTTGATGCTTCGTAGGGTGCCTTTATATATTGTATTTACTGCTGTTTTTTAAATAAAACAAGTATGAATATAAGATTTATTTATTGTAGTAATAATATAATTTAAAATAAAATACATACATCTATATGTACATATTAAATACATAATCGGTATACATGAATATGTTTTTGTTTGGGGAGTGCAAACCTAAACAATATTAGTCTTAATTCTTCAATAATAAGAAAATATTGCAAAATTTGGTAATTTAGTCCAGGCTACTTATACATATAGAAATTTGTACAAGGCTTTTGATTGTGGACTTTTGGCAAGTTCTAACCAACCGTGAAAAATCCATCTTGCCAACTATTGGTTTTGTAACAACCATAAGTAGCCTGGGCTTGGCCTGGACTAAATTACCATTAAACAAGCAACCCTAAATAATTCATAATTAACAAACAGTATTTTTACGATAGAGCGATACTGCCGTGCTTAGCCAAAAAGACGCAACTCCACATTTTTACTTTATAAATTATAGCGCTTTATTGTTTTTTTCTAAAATATATATTATCTATATATATATATATATATATATATATATATATATATATATATATATATATATATATATATATATATATATTATCTTTGACTATAGTACTTAAAAATGTATGTATAGTTAAAATGCGTATTTTTGCTAAGAGAATAATTAAATTTTAATAATAACGAGATTAGTCTTTTTGGCTTAGGACGGCAGGATAGTCAATACTTACAAATTGATTACATTTCCGCACCCAGCAACAATATATTTTACAACCATTAACACGTTTTATCACTTTTAAAGCGCAAAAATGTATTTAATAATTCAAAAATTATGATCGACATCAATAATTATGATTGACATTGAAATTTGCAAATAGCGTTTGTACAGATGTCTGCAATTTACAAATAGATATAGTTTAGGTATTGTAGCTCTAGAGGGGGTATTATCTTTGGTTTGGGCTACGTACCGTACGTGAATTAACTGTATATCAATAGTTTTCAGAAATTCTATGACATAATCTAATCTTGAATTTTAAACATTTTGGCCTATAATTTTAGCTGTCATATATTAATAAAATAAATAATAAAACTTTAAAATCGAATAAAATCTGTAATATTTGGATTTTTTAAATAAAATTTTAAATTTGTCGATAAATTATAGTAGATAATAAATTGAACCACTTTAATTTGAATTATCTTAAATAGGCGGGTGAGGCGACAGGAAAAACTAACTTTTTTTCGCAAACTTCAATTTAAATTCTGTTTGCGCCGAACTTGTCTATTTAATTTCATTATAAACTATTATAAATTTGGTGTGGGTCCCATGTCTAATAACTGAAATATTGGTATACCCAAAATCCACCAGCCGCCACTGTTGTTATATCGAGGGATAAAAATCAACTAACCAATTAATTGTGTGACAATTCTGTGGGTAAAAGGCATAAGGGGATAAGTCAAAAAAATCAATTTTTTAGTAGTGCCTTAAACGTGTTCGCATTAATTTTGGAAATACATTTATGGTTAGCGGATATATCCTTTTGCCAGCACATGTCATATGCTAGCAAAAGGGTATGTTCGCTAACCATAAATATATTTCCTGAATTAATGCGAACACGTTTAAGTCTCTACCGAAAAATTGCTTTTTTTGACTTATCCCCTTATGCCTTTTACCCACAGAATTGTTGCACATCATGTTGCCAAACGCATGCCTATAGTTAGGTAATTAAAAATTATTTTTGAAATTTTATATAAGATAAAACACGATAAAACATTAATTCCTAATGAAACCATTGTTTTAACATTATTTACATTAGGCATAATCTAATATAATAAAACTTTAAACAAAATAAACAAGAAATAACTATTATTTATAAATAAAATGTTTACGCTCTCATATCTCTTTAAATATTAATAACAATTTTCTGGGATTCCTGATAGTCTGTATCTATAGATTATACACCTTCGCGCGACTTCTGGGACACCCTGTATATATTATACTTAATTACTGTTAATTATTACTTATAAGTCGCGTTTCACTTTCTGGAATGCGCTATTGGTGTTAAATTATTTTTAAATTACAAACATTATCTACCTGTAATTTAAATTAAAAAAAATGGGATTAAAAAAACTACAACCCACAAATTTTCTTTTATTTTTTTTCTTTTTGACTAGCAAAGATAATTTTTTATTTTTTTTTAAGATTTTTCCAAATAAACACCAAACTATAATTATAATTAGATGAAAAATATAGTTTTAAGAAAAACACATGTATCAAATTTATTAGGCAGATCTTCAAAACGGATTTTCTCATAAATATTATGGAAGAAAATTTTAGTTTTGCTGACTTTTAAAGTGCAAGATAAAAACACATCCGAAAACCATTATTATGCCTAAAACTTAACTAGATTTCGTAAAAACCATCGAAACTTTTTAGATAACTAAATCGTCTTTATAAGTAATAACTTATTAATTACCTACGCAATGCGTTCAGTGGACTTCGGCAAAATCAAATGCTGCTATACCTAACGCGTCAGCTGTATACACCAAAAATAAATAAAAATAACTCTTAAAATTATTAAAAAAATTATATTTTTACCTTCCCTGCATTCCTAACTAAAGGGATAACAAAATCCATAAAACATCTAAGTTCAGAAGCACTCATGACGCTGTTATAAAAAAACTACCTTAAATCCTATAATTAAAAATACAATGTAGTTATAATAAATAATTTATTTTATATACTAGATAACCGGCCTTGAAAACTTTTTCTTTCTTTACGTAGATTTAGTTTTAATCTAGTTAATTAGATAGGAACTTGCAATAATGTAAGAATTATACAATTAGTACCATTGTTAATATAATTTTTAATAAGTTAAAATTTAAAAATAAATATTTACATTATAATTTCAAACAAATATGTCTGCTGAGATGTATAAGATTTGCGTATTCATAAATAAAGTTGTGTACAAATGTATATACATGTAGTCAGTATGTAATTGTTGAATATTTTCGAAATATGAGTATATTTAAATATACTTCAAGGATTGCTAACACAAATAACATCACAAATTTATCGCTCTGTATCTCAATTCTTATTAACATTTTACTTAGGCAAATTTATGTTAACCGACCTATTTTGACCTCCTTTTTCAACAGTCGATGAATGGTCTATTAGTTATGGCCCATAATATAATATGTTACAGCGTTTGACAGACGTTTATTGAATAATTCCCCTAAAAGCATAGTCATTGGGCTGATTGCAGCAAATGCTGTACTAAACAATGTTTATATTACTTTTTTACAGACTTCTGCTTCACAAGTTGTTTTTCATTTACTTTTTCTTCTAGAAGCATTTTAATGGGCTGTTGATGTAAGAATCAATTATTTAAATATTTTCTTTGTGGGTTTCCTTTTTTTGGCTAATTTTGGAAATGGCATTATGTCGGCAGTAAGAAACTGGATATTTATAAGGTAGAATGTCCAATGCTCGATGGTACAGGAATGGCAGGGGGCTCTGGTCCAATATGGGACGGTTCAGAAATAGCAGGGCTCTCTTGTCCAACTGTATGGTCCTCATCCATGTCTAGATTGTGCTACGTAACTTCACTAGGCAAAAAATCTTCTTCAGCGAATACTGTTGACTCCAAAGGATACATTTCCGTGGCACGAAATGACACAGTCGCCTTCTCCACAGTTGCTAAACCCCATGGTTTTAAAAAGCTCGGCTACGCAATACACGGTAATTGTCTGCCCTGGGTGCACAGATTGCAAATTGTCTTGATCACAGTTGCTCTTAAGTGGTTTTAAAAAGACTTGGTCAAGGGGCTAGGTTTTATGGTTTATTGTTTTTTTGTGTTTTTGGAGCATCGACTACCTGGTCATTAGCTGTTTTTTTATCCTGACCCAGGGTTTAAACCCGGGACCTTTGGATTGTAAAGCCGAAAATTTGCCCACTGAGCTACCCCAGTGGGTAGTTGTTTGATTTTGCAGTTACGGCTTCTACATTGGTATGAGATACATGATTATATACAATCATTAACACCGATTTATTCACTGTTGGGTTCGAAAACTCTATGAAGTGATCCAGCCATTTTATGAATGTCCATGTAACCTTTATCGGTATTGCAATCCTGACGACCGTTTTTAATGAGGAGAGTAATCATTCTCTTCCTACGAAAAATAAAGTAGGGCCACAAGCCAGTTAAAAATTAATAACAAATTAAACTATTTATTATTAGAATGATACATAATAAAGAATAAATAAAACTTGTAAGAGGTGCTCTAAAGTACCGAAGAACTGACAAGCCATTTATTTTTTTTAGCAAATATTATATTGAACTTTTTAATTAGCAAACTGAAAATTTACAATTTATGACTTCTGGAAATTTCCTATTAATAACTGGAAATAACTGCAGTTATAGGCATGCCTATCACTGATTTAAACGTGATGGTTGGTCAAAAATAATCTATTTATGGGACCTGAATTTCGCCTGTTTGTTTAAACATCAAGAGTGCCAGCGATAGAATGAAAGAGGCATACAACATCAAGGCGGGAATGGAGGATTTTAACCTGGAGACCTGATTATATAACCCTAAGCGTTGTCATGGTTATTCGCTGAAGACTTCTTGGTAAAGACCATACAAAGTGATGAATCGCGTGAATTACATCATCTACAGGATCAGGAAACAACCAAAAGAGAAGCTAAAAGTGATCAATTTCAACCGATGGGCTACTTACGCTGGTATTAATTATGACCAAATGGGCAATGCTATTATAGTTACTATAATATAGTAAGTTACTATAATAGTAAAAAACTTGATGGACCGAAAGGCGAGCTGCCTATATTTGAGCGGTAATAAAGCTCGATATGGTGTCAATCAAGAAGAAAAACAGGATGTGTTCAAGGTTTTAACCAAGTACTCCTTGGCCCACTATGTTACAGAAGATCTTGACATATCCGTCGCCTTAAAAAAAAATAGTTTGGACAAGTCGACGAACTGCAAAGGTAGAATCCCAAAGTTGGAGGGTTCTCGAAATAGTGAATAACAAGCAGACAGACAACACAAGCATCTTAATCTTCTATCTGTTAACGAAGCCGCTCTCCTATTAGAAGCCAAACTACCGTGACGTATGGAATGCCTTAAAAAAATTGAGAGATACCCTTTTGTTAAGGACATGAACCTGACGATACTGAAGCTTGCTTGTGTACTAGACGGTTTAGAATGTAGAATAATTAGAAGTATGCTGGAATTTATTTTTAGATTTTGTGGCATATACCTACATCTTTTGTTTGCTTCCACAACCATAAAAGAATAATTGATTAAAGACCGTAGACTGCTAATTTTATAGGACGTCACAAAGAATCCCTATGCAAATTTTGCCATGGAGCAGAGAACCATGTCACACATCGGATTTTTCGAGACGAAAATGTCTTAGGAGCGAGTACCTACTCTTAAGTTCGGAATGTCTGTAATGACTCATCGCTGGTTTAACGAAGGATTCCCGAACGATGTAGAACGTTTCCACTTCTTAATAGAAAATTTCCTCCTATGAATTATTAACTTTCAGCTATTAATTGGAAATTTATCGATATTATTTAGTAATATAAATGAAAACTTTCCTGATAAAAACTCTGTAACATCCCTCGTCAAAAAACACTATAGAACACCATTGAAAAACACTCTATAGTGTTCTATATTTTCGTTCTATAGTGTCCTATAGTGTCAGAAGAGTTTTTAAGTGTGTCTATAGTGTTTGAAGTGTACATATAATAGTATTTTATAGTGTACCTTGAAGTAGGAATTACTAAAAATGTCATATTACACTTTATATATATTTATTTATTTATTTTTTTATTATTATTGTTATATAAAGCTAAAAAATATTTTAAAAATGTATTTTTTTTTGTTCCATGCATCTTTCTTCAAACCAGAGGTCGGAAAAAATTTAAAAAAAATTATTTTATAATGTTTAATTTTTATTTAATATAATTTCATCAAATTATGTTTTAATTTTCCCGAAACTTTAAAATTAAAACACTATAGACACACCTACTTTCACATTTGATGACACTATATATATACACACTAGTGAACACTACTAAAACACTTGACAACACTATAAACACACTAGCCAACACTACCAAAACACTTGAAAGTACTATACACACTATTCAACACCACACGAACACTAAGCAAACACTTTAGGTACACTATAGAACACCATGCATAGTTGTTTATTGTGTTTTATAGTGTTTTTTGACAAGGGATGGTCCTTCAGCGCTTCCGTACTAAAGTACCACACAAGTATTTTAACTTTAAACGAAAACTATATATAATGTTGTAATACTGAAACTGTCTTTGAAATTATAGAGGAAAATATTAAAACCTATTTGGCTGATTAAACAAATGATGCTTTAACTATTGAAATAAATTATTTAAAAGGAATATTAAAATAAAAAGATTAATAAATATAAAGTCAAACAGAAACTATTAAATCATTAAGGGATTAAATTAATTTAATAAAAATAGTATATAAGTATACACTAAAATACCATTTATTATACCATAAACAAAATTCATATGCTAAAGCATCGGGATCAACTAATAGCAAATCAAGTATAAAAGCAAAAAACAAAACACAAACTAAACTTTTAAATGTTTCCGAAACAAACTTCACAAAAGCGTGTAAAAAAAATTGTCTGCGAGAACAGTATCGGTTGCCATATTAAAAGCCAAAACTAAACAAATATTGTGTGACAATTAATAAATATTAATTTTGATCACATAATACACTGGCGAAAGAAATTAACGCATCACCATAAATTTATCATTATTTTGTTGTTAAATATTTTCCGAACCAATCATTCGATTTTAAGGCTCTTCTTTGGATTATGTAAAGACTCTTAGAGAATGTTGTTATGACTTTAGTTATTTTATAAATCTTTGTGTCTTTTATATACGGGGTGTTAAACTGATACTTGATTTTTTCAAAATTTTTGAAACACCCTGTGGATAAAAGTGGCAGTAATAGCAAATCCTAAAAAATATTTAACTATAGCCTTATCTATTCTTATCATTCTTTTTTTTATTCAACTTTTTATCTCTTTGATTAAAGAAGATACACAATTTAATAAATCTGCATGTTTTATTTACCTTTTTATACACATTAAAGAAAATAGGCTGTTGAAAATGTTAATATTTTAAAATGAATGTCAGAATTGCTTCATCAGAATGTCAGAAGTGCTTCATCAGAATCGCATATTAAGTTTTGAAGATTCTGTGCGTGCGGTTACTCTTCCGGAAGATGGTAGAAGTCAGCGTTATATCGCTCAACGTGTTGGTGTCCATCAATCGACTATATCTCGAATCCTGCGACAGAACCTCAGTTACACACAGAGCATCGCAGAGCCAGATTAACATTTGCTCAAGAACACGTTAACTGGTTAGAGGCTGATTGGGCCAACGCGTTGCAACGTTATGTTAAGAATCCAGATTTTGTCTCCATAGCAGTGATAAACGGATGAGTTCGTATATACGGCCATGTGAACGTTATGTTCAATGTAACATTGTTCAAGTAGTCATGTTTGGTGGAGGCTCTAGTATGGTGCGGGGAGGCATCACTGCAGAGGCTCACACGGAGTTGATGATAATCCCAGGAAGTATCACGGCAGCTTCTTACATTAAAAAAATTGT